CGGAGCGGATCTCCGGCAAGTATTGCGAGCCTTCCCGTCCCGACTCTCTCGTAATACATCATTTCTGCAAATCAATTTGTGGTTTCAGAGACATGCGGTGCGACTAGCGAGCGCCCGAGCTTGATTCGCGCAGCCCAATATCTTGCATGGTACGATTTTGAGATACGAGCGAAGACATCGAGTTCGGTGGGTTGTTCCTGCCTGCATCGTATTGGGAGAGCGAGAGACGAACGCTGTCGCGTGCGAGAGAATCGATTCTGATCGCGAGCGAGTCGAGTTTGAAATCTTTTCTGTTGATGAAACTCTTGAAAATATCCGTCGGGAGAATAATCCCTCCTCTGCGTTCGCAGGGTTCAGCTTGATCCAGAAGTCTCGATTCGGATCGGCCCTGTGCTGGGACCGCGCGGCCACGTATGGGATCAGGGAAGAGAATCGAGAGCCACGTGAGGAGAACTCGACCTGATCGTAGGAATTTGGTTTCCCGAATTCTCTTCCCCGGGTTGTCTAGTTCGTATAAAGTAGTCTCGGATACTAGTATGCCCCTCCGAGAAAAAAGGGGATTTTCGAGTTGACTCTTCACAGAGGTACACATGTCGGCGGTTGATTTGCCTCACGATTCTCGGGGCGGTTTTTGCTGCGCCGATAGACGATTCACGCCGAGGGGGATCATATGGGCTTGACCGTCCATCCTATCGGACCTGGGATTCGTACGAGGAAGAGAATCGAGCGGAAGACGACTTGATCTGGACCGGTGAGTTGATAGGATGCTTCCTTCGACCGCGTGGGTCGTCCCTGAGGAATTGGAGGGAGATCCGAATTCTTTGTCATCGCAGAGGAATCCGTTGTGCCGGCCGAGGACTATGAAACATCCGTGGTGACTGAATCTAGACGTGAAATCACGGCGGAGGAACCCACAACGTCAGGTGAGATGATGTGTCGCCGTGGATTCATAAACACTGCATTTATGGCGACGATTGGGGCTCGAGGTGGGGGCCGAGAAAAACACTTCAAATCAGACAGTAAATTATTGAGGGAGAAGATGGATGAGCGCGACGACAAGATACGAGGACGCTCCTTTGTCCTGCGCGTACTCACCGACTCGAAACTGAGCCCGAGCCTCTACAGTCTACAGGAAGCTGAAAAGGGATTTCCGAGGGCGCATTTGAAAGCTCAGGACTCCACGATATTGCGTTCACCGTTCGATGTCTCGACGCAATTGAATTTCGATGCGTTTCGTATCATGAGGAAAAATGAGGAGAAAGAGGCCTCCGACGGGCACGGCATCGCTGCCGGCTACCGATCAAAGGGAAAAGCGAATTCTTCACAGAGCTTCGCGACTGCATCCGGGAGCCCGAGCCCAATCGGAGTCGGCGACTCCTTGGACTCCATCACGACAAATTCGCATGGTGTTGAGTTTCCCACGGATGTCGCAACTCACAGTCTTGACGATAGTACGGAAGGATAGGGAATCACCGACTCCCATGGAAGCAAGCTCAACACTGACCACTCTACCACGGTTGCCTTGTCCAAAGATAATTCCCCGATACAGGACAAAACCCGTAGCTCAGCCGAAGGTCTCACGCAGGGAACCCCGACGTATGTCCTTCCCATTGTGCCAGACGGGGTTTCACTAGTTCCAAGCGAGCCAAGGCTGGACTGGCTGCCGGGCGCGTCGGCGAGAACAAAGTTCAAAAATCCAATCTCTCGGGAGAGGAATATTCTATCTCGCCAGCTGAGATTGGCCCCCGATTCCCAGAATAGGGTTGGGATTAGGTTTCGATCCACGACAACTCAAGCGGAAGATCGTCAGAAAAGTCATTCATATCTTGCAAGCACCGATAAATGTTCTCTTAGACACCGCCGCCAGGGTATGGCACCTTGGAGTGATCCGGTAAAAGGAAGAACCACGATTCTCAAGTAAACTACCTATAGGACAGAGAGAGCTCAAGATTCCGCGAGCAATATAGAGAATCGTTCACCGGAGCGTCTCCAAAGGAATTTTCCTGTGCAGTCATTATTCTTTAACAGGTTTTATACACGAGAGAGTTTTGTTACAAGATTGTACATGGAGAGACGTCCACCCTCATTGAGCAGCGACGCCCCGTTGACGGAGGAGGAAGCGCTCACGCGCACTTTCGAACTTTTCCCTGACGCTTCTTTTCGTCATGAGCTCTCTCCAGTCCTTCGGCTTCCGTTGTTGCGCTTCGGGCTTGTCCTCGGATTCGTCGTTGATCTGATCCCCAGATCCGCTCTTATCCTCCTTCTTCTTCGTGGTCTTGGCCTCGTCCTCGTCTTCGGACTCTGATGAACTTTCTTCGATGCTGCAAGGGAAAAATGGTTCAGCTGCATTGTGAACCTCGTCGCCGAATCAACAGCCAAGGGAGGTTGGGGAGGGGGAGGTGAGTTTCTTGAAGCCGTACCTCTCATCGGCGTCTTGATTCGTGGGTTCGTCTTCGGAATCGCTCTCTTGTTTTCGCTTCCTGTATGTTCGAGTGACAGGCTTGCCTAGAAGTCAAGAATGCGATCGTCGTCGAGGAGCTTCTATAATTTTTGTTTCTCATAATGAACCGAGCATACGGCCTCAAATGATTTGTCATGTATTCCCGCGCGCCTGCGTGAGGCTCAAGTAGAGTGGGCTCACGTTTGGCTTTGACTGCTTCCTCTTCGTCGCTGCTCATCTCGATATCCGTATCCGCATCCGGATCCTTGGAGAAATGCTTCGAGCTACTGGGCACCGCTTCGACAGCGGCTTCGGGCTTCTCCGGCTCTTCCGGAACCGTCACTGACCTCTGTCCCGGGACCTTCTCCTCACCGCATTGTTGTTTCAACAGATGTCTATAGAAGCCGGTCAGGTCTTTCTGTTTCGTCACGTCCATCATGTCTGCGAGAGAGGAGCTCCACGTTAGAGCGTCCCATTAAGCAAGCTCAAATCTCTGCAGGGACGTTTTCAACGTTCCTTTCGGGAAAAAAGATTCCGAGAGGTGACTCGAGCACTTCTCATTCCTCGGAACCGGATCTACCTTCGAGTTGTTCCCGGCGTTTGGTTTCCTCTTCCTCTCGTTTCATTTCCTCCATCTTCTTCTTGTAGGCTGAAGTGACGAAAGCTTCTTTGTCCCCTAATTCGTTTTTCTCTTCCTCACGTTCTTTCTGAATCTTCCGCTGCTGACGGCGTTCGTCTTCTTTTTTCCTAATCGCAGCATTCTTCAGCAAGTCGTCGATGTACTTCGGCTGGAATTAGGCATATATGTACTTCATTCAAAGAGTCGAGCGGCTCCGAACTCCGCGGGTTCTGGATCATATCCAAGAATTGATGGCAAAGCGGACTTGTCCGACCTTCCTGTCTTTCGTGATGACTTTGTTAGAGATGTCCTGAGCCTCTTTCTCGGCTTTCATGTCGTCGTAGATCTCATCGTATTCGAAAACCTTAGCGTCCTGATCAAGAGCCTTTTGCATGGTCGTCTGCGATAAGAATATTTCCCCTTTAGCCTGATGCCGGCGTGGGCTTCGGCCCATCAGAAGAAACATGCGGAGGGGACGATTCTCCATTTCCTGACCTGGGTTTCGAGTCGCTTCAGGTTCCTTATCGATTCTTTTTTAATCATTTCTTCGATGTTGGTTTTAGAATGTTCATCGTCGCTATCGTCTCCGAAGACGTTAGACGGCGCCGCCTTCTGCACCCCAGGACCCTGCTTAGTCTTCGGCAGGATGAGACCATATCTGCAAAGCGCGTCCGATTTAGCTAAATCGTAGTCAGATGGCACTACGAAGAATATGCAGCCGGCGTAAGAGGAGAGTTCAATTTTGGCGTTAGGGCGTATCTCTCTGAGCTCTGCGCCCCTTTCGGGAAGTGGCTCAGAGCTCTTCGGCAAAAAACTCAGTCTTTGACGTCCGCAGAGAGTCATGGGAATTCAAGAAATGCCAAAAAGATATATTAGGGAATTAGCGGACTTACTTCTTTGGGGCCGCCATCTTTGTTTATGCCATCCTCGAAAGGTCACCCTCTCCACAAAGAGAAAGGGGCCCTACGTGGTCTTCGGAACGAGTCGCGCGCGGGTTGAGATGGGGGACAGTCGAATTCCCCAAAACTTATCACATGAGCCTGCCGACAGGAGAATCTCTAAATATCACGCATACGAGAGGACTCATCTCTCGTTTTTCACCGCGGTGTAAATCCGAAGCGGAGCAATAGATACGCGATTGTTTCCCTCCGGCGTCGTCTGCTGCATTGACATACCGCCGAGGGATATATGAAGCACGATAGCACGAATGAAGAACACATCGCTTTCGGAAACTCTCTTACCGGTTCTCATCGTGAGTCGACACCTCGATACCATCAGAGTGTATGACACATCACGAGTATTCGCGCGCTAACCTCAATACGGCCATTGTGGAGCCGAAAAGGTTCCGTCGGACTCTCACGTAAGTTCATCTCGAAGTTTTGGATTCAGAGCGCCACAAGCCCTTGTGCGGGCTCACTGAAGCTGGATAGTCGTAATGACATTTACCATCACCCAGTTCTACTGGGTCGTTGGACCTCGGTCGCGCGGGAATTCGTATCTGGAAGTCAGAGGCAATGACGACACTGATATCCGGAGACTTTCCCGGCTGGAGGAATCCCGAATCGCTCTTCACCGGCTTCGGTTCTTTGTTCGTTCTCACCCCCCGACTGGCGCAATCGAGCAGCTCGCAATGACGCATCATGTGGTAGCGAATTCTAGGCGACGACGAGTGTTGAGCCATACCTCAAGCATTGTCTCGAGCTGCGAGAGCGCATTCGGTGTGGAGGAAACGCTAGTTCTTTCCACTTCCAAGGGACTTTTTCGAGCTCCGGGAAGTCGAAGCTGGATCGATACCGGTTGCATCTCAGACACGTCAGGAGCATTTCATAATTTCATGTTCACGAACTCGATGACTGCCGGTTGATATAGTGATTCGGAACCATGTCCGCCGGTAATCTCGAGCCACTCAGCGTGCTTTAGACGAATCCCCGTTCGCCGAGACGCGTTCTCGCAGAGAGATGTCCTCGATCAAATCTGTTCCAAACGAGCTCATCTCGTTGTTAGCCACGGGAGCGCTCTGCGCAACACGAGAGAGCCCGACGTGCTCTTTAGCGAATCTCATTGGTCCACCCGTGGAGCATTTCATGATGAGATGAGCGTCGGGACTCGATCGTACCAAACCGAAGAGCTCTGGAGCGAAGGCTCCGATCGTGATCCTCGAGAGACGGGATACCGTAGGCGGGCGATACATCGAGTTCGGACTCGCTTGATCGGAAGTAATAGCTCTCCAGGCGGAGCCCGAGCGCGATCCATATAAGCATACATGCATTCTCTCGTTTTCTTCTGCATTCTTTCTTCTCCTATATATGTATATCCCATATATTTTCCCTTCGCAGGAGGAGGAAGAGCATAGACTGCAACCATGAGCTCATCGCGTCGAACGAGCCGGAAGGTGGGTTCGAATCATCTGATTGAGTATTTCAGGATCTTAGAAGATGAGATTCAGTCTCGGGCACCTCTCACCGCTCTACCAACGTTTGAAAACTCTGTCCTTCGTCTAGGTCATGGATGTGGAGAAGAATTCCGAGGCTTTACTGGCGGAGCAGGCAAGATCCTACCAGATCGAGCTCTTCGAATTCGCCAAGAAGCACAACACCATCGTGTGTTTAGGGACCGGTACCGGCAAAACGTTCATTTCGGTTCTGTTGGTGAAACATTTCGAACACGAGGTAGCTGGACCCTGGATAGAGGGCTCATACGGTGAGCCCATCGGGAAGAGAACAGTCTTTCTCGCTCCCAGCGTACCTCTCGTCGAGCAACAAAGCGCCGTCCTGGCTCAGCACATGACCGTGAAAGTGGCGTCTTACGTCGGGTCCATGGATGTAGGTCTTTCGATAGAAACCTGGAAGATTGAAAATAATCGCAAGTGAACGAGGCAGTACGGGGAAACTGATAGAATCCCACGAAAGTTTAATCGATGATTCGCCTCTTACAACCAACGAAGACGGATCGCTGGAGTTCGGAGAATTGGAACCGAGAGTTCAACGAAAACGGGGTGCTGGTGATGACCCCCGAAGTTTGCCGGATCGCAATCGATCATGGATTCTTGCCTATGGAGAATATCAATCTGCTGGTCCTCGACGAGTGTCACCGAGCCACCGGAGACGATCCCTACGTTAAGATTATGGAGAATTATGCGAATCTCGGTGACAAATCACGGCGTCCAAGGATACTCGGACTGACAGCGTCAGTAGTAAACGCGAAGGTGAGCGATCGGTTCTTCCGCTTGCTCCTCCTATCAGTCGGTGAAGCTGGTCGACTGTGTATTCTATTGAATATGACCGGATCTCACCGATCTCTTACTATTTTTTTCCAGGTTCAAGGTTTCGAAGTTCAAAAAAAAATTAGAGATCTAGAGGCTTGCTTGGACTCGGTTGCGAAAACCTCGAGTTTGAGCGCTCAGAACTTCGGAACCAAGCCGACTGAGATCATCGTCACGCACCATCCTCACGATGCTGAGAAACAGCTTCCCATCGATGCCGCGAAGATGGCCCTGTTGGAGGATTGCGCCGATTATACCGAATTCCGCAGGAACATGAAAGCTCTCGCTAGCACCTACCACACATGCGGCCCATATTGTGCGAAGGTACTCGTTGAATTCAGGGAGCGAGAATTGCAAAAGGCCCTACAACTTCCAGATTGTGCTCAAGGTTTCAAAGACCACGCACATATCAAATTCGAAATCTTCAAAGAACTCTACGAGTTTCTTGGCGATTGTCCGTCGCTTCACGACGTACCGCCGCGGATGACGAGACTTCTGGAGGTCATAAGGCGGTTCGAGAAAACGAACCTGTCGGCCGTCGTGTTCGTCAAGGAACGCCTCGTGGCTTACGTTCTCTACAACTGGATGCGACAGCTGTCTGTCGAAGACAGCTCGTTCGCCTTCATCCGCTGTTCGTTCATCGTCGGTCAGGCTCAGATCAATTATGCTCGGGAAATTGACCCAGAGAGTTTGAAAATGAATTCCAAAGCTCAGAACAAGGTGATGAAAAACTTCCGGAACGGCGAATATAACCTCATGTTCGCTACCTCAGTCATCGAAGAAGGTATGGATGTACCCGCGTGTAATCTCATCATTCGATTCGATCCTCCGATGGACGTCCGCTCTTACACGCAATCGAAAGGTAGAGCGCGAGCGAAACCCTCGTTGTACGTCGTGCTCAGCTCCGAGAGCGATCGCCTCATGACTGAAGCGCTCCTGGATTCCTACCAAGAGACGGAGCAGCTAGTCATGAAGTGTTGTGGAACCGAGCGCATCGCCCCAACAGCCTTCGAGACGGCGGAAAAGTTCGTGGACGACCCCGACCTGCCACCGTACGTCTACGGCAGAGCCCGCATCACGGCCAAGAGTGCAATCAGTATCATATATGGATACTGTCAACGATTCATGCGATTGAAATATCCGAACCTTTTCCCATTCTTCGATATGGAGGAAACACCCGATGGCTTCGTATGCACTCTGAGCATGCCCATCGTCTGTCCCGTGAAAGAGAAAATCTCGAATAGAGCTCGTCCTTTCCCGAGTAAAGATAAAGCGAAGTCCTACGTCGCTCTTGAAATGTGTAAACGCCTCCATCAGTGTGGGGAACTAGCCGATAACCTTCTTCCTCGGAGAATGTACACCAACCTTTACAAGCTCCATACGCGACCCGAAGACGTGAATCCGAAAGAAGATTTGAAAAAGGTGAGTTGGCCCACTGAAGGCTGGGCAATGATCATCGGGTAGTAATCCTAAAGATCGTTCCTGCGTTTCACGAGTACGCTGGAATCCTGATTCACCGGACGGTTCGTTCCAGGAGATGCTAGTCACCCGGTGTAAAGCTGGAGAAAAGAAACGTTACGTGCTCCCTCGAAAACGAGCTAGCATTCTCGAGCTCAAAGAAGAGGGGGTGGACTGCGATCCTCTTGACACCTATCATTTATACGTGATCAGAACAGAAGTCGTGTCCTGGACCGCAAAGGAACAAAACTGGCGCGGGGACCCTGTGTTCGATCCCGTGAAATATCCAACCTGGCTCGCCATTGTCTTGCGATCGAAGAGTAACGAAATGCAGAGCGTCCCCAAGTTCCCTATATTCACCAGATCCGGAGAGGAGTGCGTCTCATTCGAGTACGCCGGTGCCCAAATCTTCGACGATGAGCTGAAGAGCCTTTGTGCAAGATTCAATCGATACGTGTTCTCGATAGTCTTAGACGTGAAAGACAATTTGTTGAATCCAGTCGCCGGTTTCAACACGCCGTGTTTGGTTCCGGTCGATGAGATCAATGGCAGCGGACGGTACAGCATAAACATGGATGTCCTCTGGAACATCGGCAGACTACAGCCGCCAAATTTCGATAATTTCGAGTTCAGAGACGAAGACTACGACGACGCCGTCGTAGAGCTTCTGTATCATATTAATGAAAACCAGAAGGAGTTGAGCAGAGAGGTCCATTCGAGAACTCCTCAGGACGTCTACAGCCGCTTCTATGTTACGAAAACCAGGGCAGTCGGCGAGGACGGCCAACCTTTGACTCCGAACTCGACGGGGTATTATCAGTTCGACGAGTGAGTATGAGGAACTCATGTAAAGGACTGACGCGGGAATCTCAAACCCATCGATGGATGATTCATGATCCGCTGAATTTCTGCACCATGACGGCACTGATCGACTTCACGCTCGCCACTTTTTCCAGGTCTCTGAGTTTTGCTGAGTATGGGTTCAGGAGGACGCGCCGCACGGGTCCCGAGGGACTCTTGGAGGCCTTTCAACCAGTTCTCGAGGTGGAGCATGCTCACAAACGTTTGCGTATGCTCAAACCTCGCTCTTCGGATCAGCAAGAGAAGAAACAAAAGTACCTGAAAGACGTAGTGATGAAGTACGTCCTCCCTCAGTTTGTGGCCGTGCACAAAATCAAAGCGAGTCTCTGGCGGAAATTGACTTCGATACCCACGATCGTACACCGCTTGAATCGACTCCTGCTCGCCGAGGACGTCAGACGTGACATTGCGCTGGCGTGCCGCCTGAAACCAGCCTCTCCGTCTGGACAGAAATGGCCATACATGGAATTCGTGAGCCCCACGAAAGCGAAATTGAAGGAGATGAATCTGAGGGAATTCGACGCCCTGGTCTGGAGCGCGGATCGCAGTTTCGATGAGTCGAAACTGCGCTTTAGGGACATGGCTCAGCCCGACCTCGAAAACTGCTTGGGACCTTCGCCCTGTGATTTAATGAAAGCTTTAACGACGAGAGGATGCGAGGAAATCTTCGATCTTGAGCGTCTCGAATTGTTGGGTGACTCGTTTCTGCAAATCGTTTCCACGTTCGCCGTCATGGATTGGTATCCGGATAAGAGCATAAGCGAACTCAATGTTCTTCGTCAGTACGAGGTCAACAACAGTCACTTGTTGTATCGAGCTCACGAAAAGGGGCTCACGCAGGTTCTCGAGGCTCAACCGTTCAGGGCTTCTTACAACTTTTTACCATTCGGACACCGAACTGCACCGTTCGAGCAAAAGCTTTTACAACGTGAATTCCTCTGTTGCCTGGTCAAGCACTGGGGGTTCGAAGCTGTGAGCTCCGTCCCCAGACTGAAGGACTTGCGTTTCTGCAAAAACATCCAGGAGGCTCTGAACCATTTCGCGGAGTCAGGAGAAGAAAAAATAAACGCATACGCAAGTATCTCACTCCATATTCGGCTGACTCTCGTGAATATTCGCAGGCTAATTGCACGAAGAGTCCGAAAAACTAGGTCTGAATGTCAGTGACTCAATTTGCCACTTCTCCATGCAGGTTGACGAGAAAATCTACGACAGTGAGGATCTCCCCAAGAGACATGAGATTCCTGTGAGGTCATTCCACGATTTCAAAGCCAAGATCGGAGGGGATGTCGTAGAAGCGATGGCCGGCGTCTATCTCGAAAAATGCGGACCAGTCGGTGCTCTTCGCTTCTTCAAGTGGATCGGGAAGGACTTCGGCGATACCGAAACCAACAACTTCCTGGATGCATTCAAGCTCGACTTCTCCGCTGCCCAAAAAGTCCCCCCTGAGCAGATGAGGCAATACAGTCATCTCATCGATAAAGTCGAAAGACAGGTCGGCTACAAATTCAAGAGCAGAGGCTTAGCCCTGCAAGCGATCACCCACCACTCGTGCAGGGAACATTTATTGACCGACGACATGGACAAGCTGGCATTCGTGGGTGAGGCGGTCATCGATTACTTGCTCACATTGTACATTTACGGATTGAGTACGAGTCTCAATCCGGGACAGCTGACCGATCTCCGTAGTGCGCTGATCAACAAGCAAGTGACCGCGTATGCTGTCGTTCGCGCCGAACTCCATACCGTCCTCTTGCACACCAGCAACAAACTCTTCTCGGCAATCAAGAAGTATTTGTCGAACTTCGAGGACATCGGCCTTCGACTCAATACTGTAATCGACGATAGTGAGACCGATGACTCTGGAGAGGCCGAGATACCTAGCCCAATCGCGAGGATTCTACTGTCTATCCTAGGAGCTGTTTTCATCGATTCTGGGAAGAGTCTCGAGACCGTCTGGTCCAGACTCGTTAGAATCATGGGTTACGAAATCTTGTTGTTCACCAACAATGTACCGATTTCGCCTATCAAAGAGGTTTGTCAGAAATTCCCGGGAACTTTCTTCTCGAAGGCAAACCCCGTGATTGGAGGTGAGAATTATTATTTGTCTAATTCTTGAATGCGAGGGAATCATTGCCTGGTCAAGGTCGAGAATTCGTGTTGCCATTGCTCTCTTCCAATGCTCCTCTGATCGACCGTGTCGGCTCGATAATGACGGACGAATCGCTAGAAGGAGCTAAAGCGTGGTAATTAATTTCAGGCGAGGACGATGGCAGAATTGAAGTCTCGATGGCCGTGGTCAAGAAGAATGGTGAATTGGAATGGTTCACTTGTATCGCGGATAATAAGAAAATAGCCAAAGTCGCCCTGGCTAAGAAATTCCTGAGGGGACTGGAAACCAAGACTAAGCTGGCCGAACTCCAAGAACGCAAGGAGGCTCACGAGACAGATGAGAGCGTTTCAACCTTGAGCGATGATCTCCTCGACTCCGAAGTTCAAAGATCGAAATTCTACAGGTCGAAAAGATGATTATCTTTTCTGATCAGGCAGATACGGGGATCGGATGCTGGGAATCATTCTTCCGCTAAGGACTTCCGCAGTCCCAAATGGATATTTCTATTCTGGACAGCGCGCGTACGGGAGCTCGACGGCGATAGAAGCAGACGTTGAATGATCGAGTTTTTGATTACGATATTTTGGGAAGATACAGCAGTGGTTTGGTTGCGCACAATTTTTGAACAGCAGCGATCAACGCCCAACTGTGACACGCAGATAACCAAGTGCAGGGTTCCTCTCCTCGCTGCGAGAATCATTGGTTCGCCTTCACTAAATCATTTTCGGGTGCTCAAAAGGGGTAGGGGCTCGCTGCCAGTGATACTGGGAACGCTCCCAGCAAACGTATCCTTGGAGTCAGGATTCTCTATGACCTGTTATGTGTGTTACCCGTTTGGAATGATTTCATGTGGGGCTCAGCGAGAAGGGCTCCCGTCGATAGCAGACGAGATCCTTGCGTGGAATGTTGAGACTGATGGAGAATTTCTGTATTCTCTCTCACGACCGGAAACTCTCTAGGATCGGAAATGAGCTTCAGGCCAATGCAGGACCCAAAGTCTTCTTCGAAGCCTAAGGAATCAGCTCGATTCCCGGGGCGGTCGATTTCCATAGTTAGAGTCGCGAAATAATGTTAGGGCTCTCGAATGAAGTACCGATGGTCGGAAATCCCCGCTCCCTCGCTCAGAAACGCTAGGAATAGGGGCAGAGGTCCATCGAGTGAGTGAATGATCACGCGTGGAGGTGTGAGCGGGCTAGCACTCGTGGTTTATCTAATTAAATTGATGATAAATGATTTTAGCATGCGAGAAGGACGACAACTTTGTGAAAGTCAGGAGCTCGTTAGGGGGAAAGAGAGCAAACCTCGATTTCATCAACGGGGAGGTCTCACCCTTGCTAAGGGCGAGAGTCACCGCAGCTGTGCGTCCTCCAAGGGTTGACTGCGAGACTTCTCCCGGGACTAAGTCTATCATTATGAATAAAAAAGTGGATTCCTCCGAGACAGACCCTGTAGTGCGATGCGGCCCACTAGAGCTCTGCCCGGATGAGAGAACGTGTCGAGCGTGGCCTATATGCGTTTGCTTGGGCATTGTCTGCATGAGTGACTTATTTGGTCAACACTACACAGTCCAAAGTCTTGACATTCGACGCTAAAATTCGCCCTTCTCTTATTCATTTCGGTATCTCCCACTCCCAATCAGCTTTCCGTTTTCTTCTGGGCTTGAAATTTTCTTTCATGTAGGGCGTGAGAAAATTGACGTGGTCCCTGACGCCGTCCAGATAAGGATGGCTCACAGGTATCGAATCATTCAAGGTGAGGGTTCCCTCCATTTTTTGCTCCTGTTCCCTCGCGATGCCGTACTTGTAACGCAGCACACGTTTCTGAGATTTCTTATCGATTTCCACGAAGTCTGATTCATTTCTCCGGCAACGGATGCCGTCTCTGACTTCTTTTTTGAGGAATTCAGAGAATTTCAATGCTTCCTTCATTCTGTCCGCATCCATTGTGTAGTAGAAGACTTTGTACTTCTGGACCTGCGAATCGACAGGACCTGAAGATCTCGAGCTTTTCGTGAGGATGGATCCCATCATGAGAATCCCATTGGACTATGGAGAAAGCTATCGGGAATTCGTTATCCTATATTGCCGACGGCATATCACATATCACGATATAACACATCTGAGCTCGTTTAGTCTTCCATGTGGGAAGTTCACCTGTCAGAACGAATACTCCATGGCCATGCGTCCAACAATGAGTTTCCCTCATTTCCATTTCTATGGCGGTTTATACCCCTGACCGCCCTTCCCTCGGCCATGAGCAAGATAGTACAAGCTCCACTCGATATGACTTACTTAGTTAGACCTGCTGCTGCATGCGTCTGCTCCTCGGCGTGATCGCCTTCACGTATAAGTGCCTTTTCCTTACATGGTCGGTACAATATACTCTGGACATTCTGTTTCCTCGTTTTCTTTTAGGCATTCCCCCCGTTTTCCCTATTCCCATCTCCATATTCTTCCCGTTTCCCTGTTTCTATTCTAATCGTCCGCTCCTTCCCTTGAGCTTCCCGATCACACGGTCTCCAGTCCCCCTCTACTCGAATTTCAACATTCCTTAGCCAGCTCAATAACCTCGGGAAACCCTCGGTCCAGGTTTTTCCACTCCGTCTCCTTCATGTACCTCCGGTTTCCTCGTTTCTCATTTCCCCACTTCACCACGTATTTCCCGATCTCGCTCTCCTCGTTTTCCACTCCCCCCTTTCCCCTGTCCTTTCAAGCTCCACGCATCCCTTTCTTCGTTTTCTATCACTGTTTTTCCCCATTTCCCTTATTCCTCCTACGCTCCTCCTGAATTCCCCGTCCGTTTCCACCGCGGTGGTGACTCTTCATGACGGGAGACGAGGCGGCTTCCCAGGATTTTTTTTTTGGGGGGGGCCCCAGACTAGGTTTCCCGGGGGTCCCGAGAGATCCAAAATAGATGAGGTACCCTGTACTCCTGCATTACGCAAAAA